TCCCCACTAACCTGCTCGTGTGCCCCCCCCCCCAACCCCCTGAGTTACAGGTTCGCATATGATGGGGCACAAGTTGGAATGAGGATGGTACGGAGATTCCTAGAGACTTTGGATATAATGGAACGGGACCACAAATGTTTTCTATTGAAACGATTGGATTTTATACTAACCCACAATGTGTTCATGTTCAATGGCTCTCATTATCTCCAGGTGCACGGTTTGGGGATGGTATGACTTGTGCCTCCATCGTATGTGAACCTGTACCTGGAGGGGATGAGACCAGGATTTATGAGCATGGGAGGATCTCTCTTTAAGCAGTGGTCTGACTCTCCCATCATCATTATAAGATCTTGGTAAAATTAATGCAACTCTGTATGGAACAAAATATTGTGACATTGCATAAGATTATCAGTAACAATGCAACAGCGAATGCTGTCATTTCTTTGGCCAGGTAGTATAGTTTAAAAGCATATGTGATGTGAATACTCTGCACAGAGTTGCCCACTAAGGATTTTACTGACAGCCATTATTTCTCGCTTTGGTTTGGCCCCACAGGACTGTAAAATGAGTGGCAACATCAAACATTTCTGCTTTAGTGACTTTGAAGAAAATAGAGGCTATAAGCGGGTCCTTCTGCAGCTCTTCGGGTTACCAGGAAATGGAAAATCTTCCTTCATCAACTCCTGTAAATTTGTCATCGATGGTGGTGTGTTTGTCGCCCACGCTAAGGCTGGAAACGGCTTCGGAGGAGAGACCAGAAAAAGAATCTCTTATGAGATCACCGAGTCAATATGCATGGTGGATAATCGGGGGATGCCAATCCTGAACAGGTTCCAGACGGGAGAGATTTTTGCTCAGCTTGGTAAAATTTTGAAAACATTGTGATAGTGTTATTGTTGTCAATGTTCACAGCAATGTGCAGTAACTATAAATCCCACCTTTGGCATCTAATAAAGAGGGACACGTTGGCATAAAGATGATATACGGGCCACATAGCATGCCACAGTGAAAAGTGAGCATGACAACACTAGATAGTTTTTTGACCATGGCATTATGAGGCATGGTTACATAGACTACAGGGACTGAATGCCACAGTCCTTGTACCCACAACATACCCTACAATTACTGTGCCACAAGCGACAATCTCACAGCCACACATAAACATAAGCACAAAGGATCATGTAAAATAAATTGAACTCGTTCATTACATATGCTTTTCTGCATACAGGATGTAGACATATTTTTATCGAAGCCCGTGGATGTGCATCTCAAACTTCCCCCTGTGAACAAAAAAAGTGAACCGTGAAATCACAGCACACAAAAACGTGCACAAGGGTGCAAGGTCCTTCCAAAGAAGGGACCTACTTTCCCGACCCCCCGGGGCGCAAGGCTCCTGACAGGGGTTGAGACTGTTGGTCCACCAACCCGAAGGCCGGCGGACCCATTTCCTTCGGGGACCTGCCGAAACAGGTCCCTCACAGTACTAGGCAAGTGGGATCTCCCGAAGAGAAACCCTCCTCCTAGGTGGGAGGAGGCAGAGAACCCCGTTTGAGGCACAGAACCTCCTCCCAGCGTCAGGAATAGGCCCGGAAGAAACCTGCACCTTTCGCACCTTTCGCATCTGTGGGTCAAATTTCAAAATAAAAAAGTGCCAATCGTGCATGAAGTGCTTAAATAAATCTAAAGTGCCAGTGCACCACACTGACAGGCCTTAGGGGCCGGAGTGCAAAAATATATTGCCCCGGACTAGCCATAAGGCCTGTCCAAGAGGCGTTGTGCAGAAAATTGCAATGTGGTGTGTGACCAAGTGATCAGTGAGTCAATGTGGGGTCCCACACCCAAGTGACTTCCTGAGCACCCCTGGGACGCCACCCCCAGGGGGCACAACATCACGGGCTTCTGCCGCCCCCGAACCCTCCAGCCTCGACCAAGCTTTGCATCTTGTTCAGTCAGTAGGCAATGGTGCCGAGGAAACTTCCCCTTCTGCCAACAGGGAGTCGCCTCAAGCACCTACCTTCACTCCTGAAGGTACTAGGCGACCGTCCGTCCCAAGGACAGTCCATGCCTTTCCCCTCTAGAACTGATAAGAACAGATACTACACTTGATCTTAGCCAAAAGGCCGAGAAGCCCCACGGTTGGTGTCACTGGGAGGACAGAACTTTGCAGGCACTACTGGGCAGGAGATCACTCCAGACCCGCAGGATATTGGGGAATATGCAGCAACTTATCATATCCCAAACATTGTTTCCATTGCTTGAAACTAATAAAAGGTGAAATCCGATGTAGGGGGAGATTGAGTAAAATCATTACAGGGTTTTTTTTTTCTTTTTGTTAATTATTTTTCTTGTATTGTCCAGGAAATTTGCTGCCTCTGAACCAGGATGTGGAATGGGTTGAAGACTATAATAGCAACGTGGACAGAATAATGGCTGAATCCTATAAAGATGACAATTTACGTGATTTAATTGTCCCGGTTTTTATACACAAGTAAGAGATAAAAATCTACAATGAGGTGACGTTTGATAAAGTGGAGACCGGCAGATAAACCTGTGATTGGATATATTAGCATCCTGTGCTTACATTCCTCTCTTTTTTGGTCATATTGGGACAGCAGTAGACATGTAAGCCGGCAAAAAAATTTGTTTAGTTTCAATTTGTTTCGGATGTTTCATTATTACGTTTTTTGGTTTTCGGGTCTGAAAGTCAATTTGTTTTGGCATTCGAATGAATCAAAATGTCGTTAATTTCGGATGAGTTAAATGATCATTACTAAAATGCTCATTGCAGAAAAGTGACACTGTATGTTTACTTTTTTCCTTTTAATTTCTGACACCACAAACAACAACAACAAAAAAAAACAATGTGGGGTCCCCCCCCCCCCCCAACTCCCCCAACCCCTCTGGGCCGT